AGCAAACAAAAATACACTAAATCTGTGCAAATATTCATAATACATACATTTGTTACATGGAAAAAACAGCAAAAGACCATCCAAAAAAAATATTTTTTATCAACGCGATTTTCTATAGTCTTTAGACTTGCACTAAAATTTTGGTTATAAAGCTGTAGACTCAGAAGGGTTTTACAAAATCATATAAAAAAGTTGTAAAATTTGAAGAATTTTTCAAATATATATTTTTTTGTTTAAAATCTTGATTATCTATAGCATAGCCAATATTTCAATCAAATATCAACCATAAAGTTTTAATATGAAATATTTTTTGAGCATTTTTTTTTAACCAAAGCATATAAATCACGGTGTCAAAATTTTATATGGTAAAAAAGTGCGAAAATCCGTAACCAAAAAAATCTCAAAAATCAACGGGATTTTCAGCCATTTGAGACTTGCACTTCATTAGACCAAAATTGTATGGGCATACCCAAAATTTTCTAAAGATTCAGATTCAAAAGTTGAAAATTTATTGCATTTTCTTAAATTTTTTAATTAATTTTTAATTTAAGTTTTGGTTAAAGCTTGGCCAATAGTTTTATAGAAAAATAACAAAAGAAATTTAACTCGAAAAACATTATGAAAATTAAAAAAAATCAATACATGGCCACTTGTTTGAGAGTCACTGTACATATGTGCTCCCCACTGTATACATATATTTTTTTATTTCAAAAGTGAATGAATTCAGCTTACAGAAGTTGCAGGCATGGGGATCAACGTAGGATTTTATTTTTATTTCACATTCATTCGTATTATTTTTTATATATGGTCATTTGTAAATAACTTGTTGAAGCGAACAAACGTGAGGCGTTTAAGGGCAAACAGATTTGAAAGACACTTTGCCAAAATTAAATATATACGACGAAAATTCGCCTTTTTTGCACACATCCTCTGTTTGCCTACTTACTTAAGCGATAAAACCAAATAATTCTACAATTTGTTGGAGAAAAAAGAAATTCTGTACATAAGTGTCAGTTTGAGTGTTATCGGGGGCAACAGTAAGAGCATTGCCCAATGCAAAATAGTTTTTCTCTCTGACGTCAGGATTATTTTTTTCAATGAAATTTCATGGATATGATAAATAAAAAAATTACTTAAAAATTTAGTGCAATGTAGAATAAAAATATGGGTGTCAAATAAAGAGAAACTCCTATAAGATTAACAGAAAATTACATATTTTGGTGCAGAAGAAGGGAAGGACATTACAATTTTCCTTTTGACTTTATTAGTTTAGGAAAACAAAAATTTAAAAGGGCATTTTCAGTACCTTTTCGTCCTTGTTCGCCAATTTCCAATTTTCAATTATATAGAATTTTCTCTTTCATTTGGTGTCCATACTGCTTTTCTACATCGCACTGAATGTTTTCAATAATTTTTTGAATTTTTAATATCTTCGAAGATTTACAGTCTTTCAAAAAAGATACTGACGGCGTAGAGATTAACTAAAAATGTATTTTTATTATATTTGGCACCTAGTTTCTCTTGTCGTATGTATATATGGAAACTCACATAACTATTTACTCAACAAAAAATCTTGATTTCTGCGTGTCGAAACATGTTTTTTTTTTATAATTATGTATTTGCGTATGAGACTTAGCTAGGTGTTATGTAGACAAATTTTGTGTTTGGAAAGCAAGATGCGAGTTTGCGACGCACATATTTTCACTTAGACTTTCGGTAAAAGCTGCTTGATGAATAAAAGGTTTTGTGTTTAACAAATATGTGAAAATTTACCGACAAGTATGTATGTATAACCGTTAACGTACCTAAGCTGGAAAACCGGTATACAGATACATAATCTGCGATCCTTAATCAAGTTTACTGTTTCGGCATTTTTTGTGTCCTTTCAAAACTTGAGATTTTCCCTAAGGTGCAATTATACACACGCTGCGAAATTGTTGCATTTGGGATCCATCTGCAGTCGATGAGCCAAAGGACAAGCTGGATAAAGGCCATTGATTCGGTCTGCAGAGGAACTCTGATAAGACTTTAAAAGCTTTTGTGGAAAAGGAAATCAAAGCCTGTTGGACGAGAATGGAGTCTGAATATCCTAAATACAGTGCCACTTTGCGCGACAGCGAATAGTATATGAAGTAGATTACCAATTTATTGTGCGTATGTTTTTAGATAATTCATATACATATGTATGTATGTATATGTGTGTGCATTTTATATTATTTTTCCTAAGTTTAAAGCAGTTTTAGTTCAACTTCTTTCTATGTTAATTAATAATAATTAATAAACGTCATGTAAATTTTTTTAGTAAATGAAGCGTTTTTCCACAATATTCATTTGTACATATGTGCAATGCATTGTGCATACATATATATATTTGTATGTACCTACATACTTACATACATACATGCATGCCAAATTTTCTTTAGGAAATCTTATCGGGCCACAAAAATTTCCACTCGTAAATTTTAAAGAGATTACTTGGCCAACGCTCACCAAACCATGTCCTGGCACATGTGTTGCGCTGTCCTAAATTCAATTATTGATCGAAAACTTTGGCAGGTGCAATCAAATTTATTTGCCAACAGCAGATGCCAACAAATAGTCGCTTCGAATTCAACTGAGCACAGACACATGCATGGCTCTGTAATTCTGTAATTTATGTAAGTATGTGTGTATTTTATGTACACAATCTATGCATTAAGGCATTGTCAACTCACTTGGCAGTGTCCCATCAAAAGCATGACGCAAGCTAAGTTACAATACATAATAGAAAAAAGTGTATTATAAAAAGTCCTCTAATTTAATACTCTCCCTCAGGCAAAGTGGGTAAATAAGTATGTAAATATATGAGCAAGTATGAAAGTAAAACTTTTTATATTTAACTTTGCTAAACGCACTTCCACTCGTTTTTTTTTTTTTTGCTTCTACAATGCTACTAGCATTTTTATTCAATCAACTTGCCGGCAAAATGTGTACGCAGAAAGTGCGAAACTATTAAAGGAAAACAAAGCCATTCGCAAGCCGGGCATTAAAATACAGCAGAAAAGTGACATTGACTGACGGCTAAAGTAGAACAGCAGCCGGTTTCTGCAGCCCCAAAGCACATACATTTATCCTTGCAATATCTGGAGGGCTTTACATTGCATCTAACACAAAGTTACTTACAGTGCACTTACATATGTACGCATGCACATAAATATGTATAAGAAAAAACTTTTTTCTTAGCAACAAATGTGTAAGCGCTTTGCGCTTGAGCACATACATAAACTAACTATTGCGGCTGAATAGGGGTGTTAAATGCTTAGGGGACGGTTGCTGGCACTTTATAATTTCTTAAATCGCTAACCTACTTATTTATATGCAACAGCTTACTGGCCTTTAAAATTGTTTTGTGGAAAAGATTACACAGTGCTACAAAAAAAAAAAATTATAATAATAATAATGGAATACACCCGAAGCAAAACTTACAGCGATTTCAAAGTTAAATGCATAGTTTGCAGTCGTAGAAACAACATTAAATATTGGCTCTAGCAACTTAGGTTTCGCAGATATAACTTTAATTTTCAGAATTGAGCATTTGAAGGCAATAGCATGTTGAAAAAATTAACCAAATTTTTGTATTACCAAAATGGTTCAAAAGCACTTAGATTACTTTGATTTTTTTAATATAAAATCAAGTTATTTCTATTCGTTTGGTATGTATATGGGAATTTTGTAACACATGCAGGAGCGTTGCCACCTGTTTTGAGGTCCAAATTCAACTTGAATTAAGGAAATTTTATTAAAGCATAAGATACATGAAATATTAAAATATGGGCGTAAACCAAAGGAGAGTTAAGAAATAATTAATTTGAACACATATAATATTAGAGATGGTTGCCACCTAAGCTAAAATCAAATTATTTAATAAGTCTAATAAATTTCTAAAATACGGTTATCATTTGAAGTGGGCTTAAAAATGTGTATTTCAGAAATATATGTATTTAGGAGGGTTGGCAAATATTTAATAAATCCAACTGGACTTACTCCATCAGGTAATTGTAGTAAGTATGACAATATTAGACGTAAAATACTTAGTTATTACGAAACTTTAGTTAGGAGGGCAGCCCTTGTTGGAAAAGTTGAATTTACATAGTTAGCCCAAACTAAGGCAATTAGAAAATTCATATAGCTGTCAGGCGGAAAAGGTTTTGGTTTGAAAATATTTTGCAGATAGTTGCTCCGACCAGCAATCGAACCCAGGTCCTACGTTATGGTAGTACTCACCTCTAACCACTCGGCCACAAAAAACCATTAAAAAAAAAACCACTCCCAGCTCCAAGTTGACAACGATAATTCGTCCTTAATGATAAAGATAAAACAGATGTAAACAACTTTTTAAAGTGCATTTTGTACAATTTTTTTAATTTATAAAGCATTTAAATCTACTTTATTTTTTATAACTTTGTGGGTAACCTTTCTCAATATACTAGAACCCCCATATAATTTTCAGGGGATAAAGGTTACATCAAACTAAAGCTTATGCTTCCCTTGGTTGTTTGGTTGGTTGTAGTACTTCATAAATGGTAGATGCCTAG